AGAGAAGAAACCTGAAGCCAAGAAGGCTGATGCTGGTGGCAAAGAAAGGGAAGCCCCATTGCAGCCGCAATCCTGTCCTTGTCAGAGGAATTGGCTGGCATTCCCGATCTGCCGTGTATTCCAGAAAGGCCATGTACAAGAGGAAGTACTCAGCTGCTAAATCCAAGATTGAAAAGAAAAAGAAGAAAGTTCTTGCAACTGTTATAAAACCAGTTGGTGGTGACAAGAATGGCGGTACCCGGGTGGTTAAACTTTGCAGAATGCCTAGGTATTATCCTACTAAAGATGTGCCTTGAAAGCTGCTGAGCCATGGCAAAAAACCCTTCAGTCAGCACATGAGAAAACTCCAAGCCAGCATTCCCCTGGGACCATTCTGATCATCCTCACAGGGGCAAGAGAGTGGTTTTCCTGAAGCAGCGGGCTAGTGGCTTATTATTTGTGACTGAACCTCTGGTCCTCAATCGAGTTCCTCTATGAAGAATGCACCAGAAATTTGTCATTGCCACCTCAACCAAAATTGGTATCAGCAATGTAAAAATCCCAAAACATCTTACTGATGCTTACTTCAAGAAGCAGCAGCTGCGTAAGTCCAGACACCAGAAAGGTGAGATCTTCGACACAGAAAAAGGGAAATACGAGATTACAGAACAGTGCAAAATTGATCAGAAAGCTGTGGACTCACAAATTTTACCAAAAATCAAAGCTACTCCTCATCTCCAGGGCTACCGGCGATCTTTGTTTGCCCTGATGAATGGAATTTATCCTCACAAATGGGTATTCTAAATGTCTTAAGAATCTAATTAAATAGCTGATTACCTTTAATATATATATATAAAGGCTGATGCTTCAAATCTGGTGTTAGGTCCTAGATGGGGACTAGAGAATTTACATTTTCAAAGCACCGTATATGATTCTGATCTGTACCTACATATGAAAGCTCACTGGAACCACTGCATGAAATCAAGCACTGAGCAAGGTTCTAAAAACTCAAGATGAGAATAAGACCTAGGTCTAAACTCACACACTTTATACTCTATCATAAAGCTCATTAAAATGCCTAAAAATGTTCACTCTTAATACTTAACTGTAGCTCTCCATATGTGATCACAATAAAGGATAAAACACCCCAGGAACATTTAACTTTAGTGGAGGAAACAAATACGTATAAAACTAACATGAAGGTCAGGCACAGGAGTCTACGTATGTAATCTCAATACTTTGGGAGGCAGAAGCAGGAGAATCATTTGAGGCCAGAAGTTTGACCAGCTTGGGGCAACAGGGTGAAACCACAACTCTATGAAAAACATTTCAAAATCAGCCGCGCATGGTGGTGGGTGCCTCAAGTCCCAGCTACTCCAGAGGGTGAGGCAGGAGCTCAGGAGTTTGAGGGTGCAGTGAGCTACGGAGCTATGATCAAGTCACTGCTCTCCAACCTGGGCTACAGCCTATCTCTAAAATATATATGCATATGTATGTATGTATATGTATATATGTGTCTGTGCATATATATTTAAAATATATGTATTTATATATATTTATATGTCTTTTATATATGTATATGTATATAAATGTGTGTGCATATATATTTTAAATACGTTAAGTACTTTAAAACATCAGGGAGATTAAATATATTTAAAATACTTTATATATCCACACACATATATATACATATATATTAGAGAAATACAAAAACATTAAAAATTATGATACTCGACACACTATAAAAAATACATCTTTCTCTAATATACATGTATGTATATGTGTGCGTATATATTTAAAATACTTTAAATGTCTTTCTCTAATATATATGTAAATTAAAATACTATATATATATATAAACACATATATATTTAAGACAAAAATATTAAAAAATTATGAGATACTCAACACACTATAAAAGCAAAGAAATGGGAGATACTATAATGCCTACAGAAGTAGAAATGACTTCCAGAAAAAAACATTTGACCTAATCAATAAAAAGTAGGCGGACGGGCGTGGTGGCTCACACCTATAATCCCAGCACTTTGGGAGGCCGAGGTGGGTGGATCACGAGGTCAAGAGATCAAGACCATCCTGGTCAACAAGGCGAAACCCCATCTCTACTAAAAATACAAAAATTAGCTGGGCATGGTGGTGTGCGCCTGGAGTCCCAGCTACTCAGGAGGCTGAGGCAGGAGAATTGCTTGAACCCAGAAGGCGGAGGTTGTGGTGAGCCGAGATTGTGCCATTGCACTCCAGTCTGGGTAACAACAGTGAAACTCCGTCTCAAAAAAAAACAAGTAGGCCAAGGTCTCAATAAACAGGAGAGCCTTCCAGGCAGCATAAAGCCCAAGCAAAGGCACAGAGATTGGGAAAAGGCTGACCATGTTCAATACATATTCTTAAAGAACAGGAAATATACTTAATAAGAGAGTGAGGTCCTAACATGAAGTTGAGTTAAAGGGACTAGGTCTATTTAGTAAGAAAAGAAAGATGGTAGTATTTTAACAGAACCTTCAATTATTTTAAGAAAGAGGATGGAAAATAATGGTGGGAAACTTCCTTTACATTGTTAGTCAAAGGCCTTTTTTTATAAGTGACATTTTAGCAAGGGCCTAAGAAGAGAAGAAACCAGCCATGGGAAGCATAGGAGGAATGACACATGCAGAGAACATGAGTCAAAGGAGCTTGACATTATTTGGGGAATGTCTGTAAGCCCAGAACTAAGTACATAAGGGAAAGAGTGACAGGTGAGATTATAGGTATATAAAACAGATTACCCAGGCCATTGTAAGGGGCTTGGATTTTATTCTAAAGACAATTTAGTCATGATTTGGTCTATATTTAAGATTACTTTTGTTATTATACAAAAAAGGAAAGGCAAGGATAGACCAATTAGTCTCTTTGAACAGTGCATGGAGAGGCTACGACAGCAAGAGTAAAAAAGAAAAATAGAAGACAGTTAAGAGACATAATATGAAAGTCAAGTAGATATGGAAAATGAAGAGCACAAAAATAAATCTTAGGTTTCTTGTTTAAGAATCTTTTCAGAAATTGGGCTAAAATGAAGGTTTTGAAATTAAAAACAAAAAAGAAAGAAAAATAAAGAATACTTAAGAGGAAGATCATCAGTTTACTCAACTTCCTAAGAGCCGAGACAAGAAAAAGCCTTAACTCAGCGAACAGAATGTAGGGTAAGAATAAATTCTAAAATGAACTGAGGTATGAAGGCAAGTTAGTTTTCTTCTAATTATTAATATATGGAGGCCAGTAATCTAGCACTTTGCGGGGGGCGGGCCAAGTTGGGAGGATTGCCTGAGCCCAGGAATTCAAAGCTGCAGTGAGTTATGATCACTCCACTGCACTCCAACCTGGAAAAGAGAGCAAGACCCAGCCTCCTAAAATAATAACACCATCACCCACATGGAACTGAAAGTATGAGAAAGGGGGAGCCTGTTCTCCCTCTCTGTATCAGACTACACTAGAGCTTCTTCATTGCCTCAGTTCTCCTAAGGTACTGGTTCTTAAATAGGATTGGACATCACAATATCTGAAAGGCTTTCTGAAAGTAGACATGTATAGAACTAAATGAAAAGAAAAATGGAGGATCTGAATGAGAAACTGAATTGGTAGGTTTAGGGGTCCTGGTCAGCAATGTATATTTTAAAAGCATCTTGGGAAATGCTGATATGCATCTTTGGTTAATTTTTAAAGATAAATATGAAACCAATGTTAATGCAATAAAACAATTTTTGTTGAAATGAATTACTTTTCACTAGACAAAATTTTTAAGTTGCCACTATATTCTTTTTTATAGAAATACGAAGAGAAAAAACATCAAGGAGATTAGATTTTAGAAAGACTATAAATCTGATGTTTGCCAGTGAAACCGTAAAAGCCTATTTCATCTCTACACTGATATTATGACATCCTGAGGTAGCTCTACAACTTCCTCAAGGAATAAATGTTCAAACACAAAATTAATTTGTAACATAAAAAATGCACGCAACTACACAATATACTTTTCCTCCAAACAAAATAAGTCACAATTCTAATAAGAACATCATAATTTTCAGGCTGGTCATGGTGGCTCACACTTGTAATCCCAACACTTTGGGAGGCCAAGGTGGGCAGATCACTTGAGGTCAGGAGTTCAAGACCAGCCTGGCCAACATGGTGAAATCCATTTCTACTAAAAGCAAAAATTAGCTGGGTGTGGTGGCACACACCTGTAATCCCAGCTATACAGGAGGCTGAGCCAGGAAAATCGCTTGAGCTCAGGAGGCTGAGGTTGCAGTGAGCTGAAATTGTGTCACATCACTCCAGTTTGGGCAACAGAGTGAGACTCCACCTCAGGAGGAAAAAAAAAAAAGAGTGTCATAATTTCCAAAATATTATTTTAAAAATGCACTTGAGAAAATCACAAAAATCCCTTCTTCTCTCTGAGGTTTTTAATATAATTTTAACCATTTTTTAAAAATCAGTAAAAGCAACCACCAAAGTTACTACCCATGATTTTCCTAACTACACCAATACATTTGTCTTTCAGAATTACCGATTTAAAATTTTTATATTCTAGTTTAACAATATGCATGCTGGGTATCTATTAAGCTACTCAAAAAAAAAAAAAAGATAATGGTATTCTAATTTGTAAATCCAGGTAAGTTTTACAGTGAGTCTAACCTAAAAACTTGTTCCGTAAAACTGATGAGGAATATGTATACTAAGAAATCATTATTTTCATAGAGGCCTAATTTCCCCATAGATCATAGTTATGTTATTTTCTGTCAACGGGTTACAATTTTAGCCTAACATAATAAAAGGGAGTCTTAAAAAATTTTTTTGAATAAGGTTGTTCATCCTAGAACTCAAATTAGCAGGGCCCTAATCTAAATATTTATTCTGATTCCTAATATATGTATATGTAATTTCACGCAAATCATTCATTTTTATGCTAATGGAAATTAAATTCTCAAAGTATATATTTCATAAATTTTTTAGTCTTTAAAAATTGTTAAAGATATAATGTGGAATGCTTCATGAATTTGCATGCCATCTTTGTGCAGGGGCCATGCTAGTCTTCTCTGTATTGTTCTAATTTTAGCGCATGTGCTGCCAAAGTGAGCATACATTTCATAGAATTTTTCTTTTACGCTGAAGCTAGTAGAGCTTTATCTTCTATATGCAAATACAATATATCCCACTTAAAGTGTAAATAGGTCAAATCAATAGCTATCATTAAAACAACAGTTTTTTAAGATGCAATAGAACAATTTTCTATTCTTCAAGTATCCAACATCTAGAGTAACGGTAAACTGAACCTTGGACTCAAAGACTGTCCTCTTTATGATACCTAATTCTACTCTTATTTTGCTATCCTTCAATATTTATCTTAACAGTCACTTCTTGGAAATTTCTAACCCCTTATCCTCATTTTTATAGCCTCCAAAAAGGTGGGGATTAGAAATTATGTGAATGAGACTATAAAGATATTACAAAAAAAGTATTCTTTTTCATTTTTTTTGAGAACAAGAGCTAGTTTTGACTTTTGGGTAAATATAAAGGCAAAGTGTGAAATGTTTATCCTATTACTGTTTAACAGTGACATTTCTATTATACCACCATAAACGGATTAAAATACAAACTTTTCTCTTTATATTAAGCAATAAAATGACAAGTTTCAACGGCCTCTAAAAGGCTTTATTATTTTCATTTTTAGAGACAGGATCTTGCTGTGCTGCCCAGGCTGGAGATCAGTGGTGTGACCACAGCTCACCTCAGCCTTCTGAGTTCAAGCAATCCTCCCACCTCAAGCTCCCAAGTAGCTGGGACTACAGGTGTGCGCCGCCATACCTGCCTATAAATGTTTCTGTTTTTGTTTATTTGTTTTTAGAGACCAGGTCTTGCTATGTTGCCTAGACTTATTTTTATATGTAAATCACTTTTAACAAAGGCAATGTGGATCTAGCCAAAATAATTTCAACTTAATTTCCATCTCTGATTTGCCCATTAATAACTAGAGAATTTCATTAACTAATTTATATACTCATACTTCATTTTGGCTGAATATCTACGATCGATACTTAGACTAATCTGATATTAGAAATACTGTAAGCATTAATAAAATAATTAAGTACCCTAAAACTTCCTCATAAAATGTATTTAATCTTATTGACCAAACTCAAGCACATGTCAATTTATATAACGAATTGAACCTGAGTTTTATCAAGTACACAGTCTTCAATATTTGATGGAGATCACAGCTTGGACAATTACTTTGTTTTTCCTATCTACGCGTAATTTTCCCTTTTACATAACTTCAGCCTTGCCTGTAACAATGGTGTCATTTCTAGATGAACTGTCATTAATTAATTCAATAAATATCATTAGAATATTAACTGTGTAAAATGCAGTGTCAAAATCCCAAAAACATGAATAACTCAACACATTTTAAAAAATCACCGTCAGGATTTTAACTATACTAGAAGGAACCTTAGCCACTAGCCTCTAATAGTAGGTTTACTTACTTTGGTTACTATAATGTTTGAAGAAACAAAACAGTAACCTACCTGCTTGTCCCCAAACTAGGCCAAATTATCTAAAAAGATAGGTTCTCCCCTAGACTCTTCAATGGTGGCACAATCTTTTAAATCATAACACTTAGATTATTTAAACAAAGCATCAAAACGGAGGAAGAAAGGTGTTAGCTATTAAACATAACTTTTTGATTCAAAAGAACCATTTTCTTCTTCTCGAGTGGTAGTGAATGTTTTAGTAAATGGTGTCCTTCATTCACAGTGATAAGTTGTATTGTTTTGTTTACAAACAAGAACTAACTCTAAGAGTGTCTTATGAAATTTTATTACAAAAATTCACACAAAAAAGTAAGATTAACATTAGTTAACAATGTAATTTTACTTTTGGGTTTCTTTCCAATGGAAAAACCTACCACCAAAGTACAAACAAAAATTAAAGTCGATCTCAAGAAAACACTGTGGTTGAATCAGTAAGTGCCTCTTATTTCTCTTATGTTAACAACAATTTAGTAGTTGTTTTTCTTATTTTCTCTTTTTTTTGTCAGGACATGTTCTCATCTGAACAATTTAGTTGATTTTTGGTAACAATTTAAAAACATATACGTAAATTAAAGATATATAATTACTAGCTCCAGAACCATTAGGGTTTTGTTTTGTTTTTTTATCCATGGGATGCTGCCTGAAATTTGTTTGTTTTTTTGTTTGAGACAGAGTTTCACTCTTGTTGCCCAGGCTGGAGCAAAAGTTTTAACAGTTCACCACAACCTCACTCACCACAACCTCCACCTCCCGGGTTCAAGCGATTCTCCTAGCTCAGCCTCCCAAGTAGCTGGGATTACAGGCATGCAACACCACACCCGGCTAATTTTGTATTTTTAGTAGAGATGGGGTTTCTCCCTGTTGGTCAGGCTGGTCTCGAACCCCTGACGTCAGGTGATCCGCCCACCTCAGCCTCCCAAAGTGCTGGGAATATAGGCCTGAGCCACCGAGCCTGGCTAAGCCTTTTAAATTTTAAACAGCCACAGAACTTCTGTTACTCATTTTCTAAGTATTTTGAAAAACTAAAAATTATAGTAACTAATTTATATTTTGTCTCACTAACATTACCAAGGTGGAAGGAATCCCTGTTTCCCAGATTTATTAATGACTAAGCATCAGTATATTCATGAATACAACGGTAACTTACGTTATTCAGAACACAAACATTAACCAGAAATGAAGTGATACTAGACTCAGCCAAAGGATAATATAAAGCCCATGTACCTTATTCAGAGGAAACAATTCAAGTTCTTGACTTAAAGCCTTTTTCTCACTTTAAAAGAAAAAAAAAAGAGGTACTAAAAAATTATTTGTGTTGTTAGCTCTCAGCAGATTAGGAGGAGAAGGAGAAAGGGAGATCAAGAGGAAAGAAGAGATAAGAATGATGAAGTTCTAAACAGAGTAGTCATTCTCAAAGTGAAGTCCCAGGACAAGTAGCATCATCAGTAACACATTAGAAAAGTAAATCTTCCCTGGCTCACCCGGAGATACTAAATCAGAAACTCTGGGGATGGGACCATGCAAATGCTGGGGTTTAACAAGACTCACGGTGATTCTGATAGACTGAAATTTGAGAATCACTGTTATAAAGGCAGAAATACTAACAGCAAAACAGAGTTATCAATAAAAAAGCCAATAAAAACAAAAAATTGATCAAAGTAAGCTTGCCAGATTATGGCCATTCAAGGCACTACTTTCAGGCACTTTAAGAGATTCAGAAGCAAGAGAAAGACCTTATCTTCAAAGAGTTATAATCTAATTCACTGGAGCAGAAGACCAGTAGAAAGAATAACAAATCTAAATAATTACATAACTTGAAATAAACTGCTCTACAAACTCAGATATGTAAAGGGTTTCAGAATATTCTGGTTCAATACAATTACTGAGGCACATACAGTCGAACAAGAGTCATCAAAAAATAAGATTACATTTTTTTTAAGCCAGAGTACTATGGAAAAATTTGTGAAAATATAAAGTTATGACAATTAAAACTGTAAGCTTCTGATATCCAAAAAATTTAAGTATGCTGGAAAGATTCATTTCCCCTGACACTAGATAAATCAGTTATTGCAGCTGCTTTGGTGATATTTTTAAAGTAATTACAAAAGACGCAAATGAGAAAATACCCCAAATGTATATTCATGAGATAACCAGGATCAACTGTTAAAACTTTTGCATCTAAAGGAGGCTGGGAAATATAGCCAAGCTGCTTAAAATAATTTAAGTCCAGATTTTAGTCAAAAATCATCATAGGAGAAACTTCCAGGTTTGGGCCATCCCATCTTCCCATTCTTGCTCCTTCATGCTCTTCCCCTTTCTTTCCAGGTCACTGGAGAGAAGCTGAGAAGCCCTTGACCTGTGTCGCTTATAAGTTATGTGAAGAGCATCCTAGCCAACCTGAACACTTGCCTTGGAGTATTATAAAAGCAAGAAATACATTTTTGTTATGTTAAGCCATGTCATTACATTTTGGACCTATTTGTTTCAGCAGTTTTAACTTACCACCACCTCGCACACAGTGGGCAAAAGATTTCAACCTATATTACCTATGGCTGAGACAGCAGTTGGTGACTAAAAATATATTAACATCCTATTGATGTTAATATATTCATGCTAATTTATTGTTTATTAAACGATGTTAATTTTACTGTTTTCTCAAAGGTACCCCCACCAAATGACTATTAGTTATTAATTACTATGTATAATACCATGCTAAAATCTAGATAACCACATGTAAAATATAGAAAAGTGCTTATGAAATCATAAGAAAACATTTTATTTCAGACATATCAATGTAAGAGATTCATGACTGAAGAATTTAGAATTAAACATTATCACCATAATAAATATGCACTCTGTATCTAGGCTGTTGCAAGTATTTACAGGTAGAATTTACATGCTATGTGCATTGGGGGTTTGAAAAAGGCCACATCTATAATTCCTCTCCTTTTAGTAAGACCCTACCAGCATGCCCTAGAGTAACTACATATGAATGGCAGTACGAATAAGAAAAAGATGAATTTCATGGTCAAGCTGAGAAGAATCAAAGGATAATTCAAGAAATAGTAGGGGCTACAACCATCTGATTCATTCCTATAGAATTTAAGGACCACTCCTAACTAGACATGTAACACACAGAACAGTAAATTTATTCACACAAATACTGAGTAGGCACACTGCTCTGGGTATCACTGAGCTAAAAAGTCCAAGAAAAAAAACAACCCCTACTGCTCTCAACCTATATGACTAAAGAAGGAGATGGAAGGAAGATCGACATAACTCTCCACACATTGAGCTATGAATCAGATCAGAAATATTCTTGGGCATTTATTTACACCTGTTCTCTATGCCTCTCTGTTCATCCAGAACCAATATAACACTCTGATTCACCCCAGACTCTAATCTTATACTGCTGAAACAAAAGTCCCCTTACCTCGGTCTATGAAACAAAGGTAGGCATGGGGAGACTTTCTATTTACACAGAATATGTCAAGAAGTCCGTATGCCTTCTGAAATCTTTCTTAAATCCAGTTCAAATGTTATCCTTCCCTTT